ACATGAAATTGTGATGCACGTTCTCTAGAGATCTAGAGAAATGACCAGCCGGTGGCTGAGAGCACTCCTAGCACCGAGACTTCCAGCACCATTTCTGTGTCTACATGGAAACTGGTTCTCTGGGAAGCAGGACTGGAAACAGGCGGAGGAACCTGGTGCGTCCTGTTATCTGGACAGACAGGAGGATGCAGAGACCACCAGTCATGGCAGAGGGCCCAAGGGCCCAAACTCAGAGAGATGACCCTGGACACAGTTCCTCAAACGCACGGCTGCCCACAGACATTCCTGGAAGATGGAGGGAAAGCCCCTGTCTTTGGTCTTGGCCATAACTGTCTGGCCCTGGCACCAGCAAAGGCACCGACAGCAAACAAGTGAGCGGGGCCACGTCACAGTACCAAGTGTCCTTCCGCTCAGCAAGGAAGCACTCGAGTGAAAGGCACCTGGGGAATCAGAGACAATACCTGCCAACCACACAGCCATGAGGAGCGAATGTCCAAAACGTACACAGAGCTCACACAGCTCAACAGCGAAAAACAAACCCATTAACTCAGTTTAAAAATGGGCAGAGGTCCTGACAGACATTTTCCCAAAGGTGACACATGAACAGCCAACTGGTCCATGAAAAGATGCTCAGTGTCACTAATCATCAGGGAGATGGAGATCCCACCGCAGCGAGATGCCACTTGACAGCTGTCGTGACGGCTCCCTTCACACATCCACCAACAGCGCTGGTGAGGACGTGGAGAAAAGGGAGCCCTGTGCATGCTGGGGGGGTTGTAAATGGGCGCAACCACTTTGGGAAACAGTATGGCGGTTCCTCAAGAAAATAAAAATAGAGCTACCATGTAACCCAGCAATCTACTTCTGGGGATAAGCCCAAGGGAAATAAAATTAATATCTGGAAGAGATGCCTGCACTTCAGGGTTCATTGCAGCATTGTTCACAAGAGCCGAGATGTGGAAACAGTCTAAGTGTGTGTCAACAGATCAAGAAAACATGGTATCTACACAACGGAATATTAGGTAACCTTCAAAAGTGCCCGGCCAGTGTGGCTCAGTGGTTGAGCATTGACCTATGAACTAGGAGGTCACGGTTTAATTCCTGGTCAGGGCACATGTCCAAGTTGCAGGCTCAATCCATGATTCTCTCTCATCATTTATGTTTCTATCTCTGTCTCCCTCTCCCTTCTTCCCTGAAATCAATAAAAGTACATTTAAAAAATAAAATAAAATGAAGAAAATCCTGCCATTTGCAACAGCATAGGTGGGCCTGGGAGACATTACATAAAATAAGCCATAGTAACAAAGAATAGAATGGTGGTTGCCAGGGGTTGGAGGGAGGGAAGAACGGGTAGAAAGTTTCAGTTATAAGAAGAATAAGTTCTAGGATCTATTGTTAACTGGTGACTACAGCTAACAATATTGTACTGAATATGTCAGTTTTGCTAAGAGAATAAACCTTGTTACTCACAAAGAAGGGTAACTGTGATAGATATATTGATTGACTTGATTGTTGTGGTCATTTCTCACTGTGTATATATATATCAAAACATCACACTATACAGCCTAAGTAGATACAAATTTTCTTCTTGAGTCATACCTTAGCAAAGCTGGTGGGGCGAGTACACAAAATGCAGACCTCATCAGTTGCCTTTGGAGGATCCTGGGAATCAATTCATCATGTTGAACATATGTAAATACAGGAAAGACTCGTGCATTTATCCTATTTTTTACATAGAAACGCTATCTTATAATAACCAAGGAATGAGTCGAAGTACTCAAGCTTATAAATAAAGGAGAAATCCTAGGACTAGAATCTCACTATTGTGTAACCCTAATGAAATAATGGATCTATGTGATGACAATGAGTCATTACATGTCAAATTTACCAAATGCAACCCAATCTGTGCTGAGAGGAAACTCCTACTGTCCATGCATATGAAACAGGGGGCTACCAGACTCTCAGCCTAACTGGTAACTATCTAGAAGCTCTTTGATCAGCAGAAGATGATGAAAACTCGACTTAAAACGTACCCACTCTGCCCAGCTTGTTTGGCTAAGTGGTTGAGCTATGAGCCAGGCCGATTCCCCAGTAGGGGGCGTGCAAGAGGCAGCTGCTCATAGATTCTCATCATTGATGTTTCCATCTCCCTTTTCCTTCCTCTTTGAAATCAATAAAAATTTATTTTAAAAACGACAACAACAAAAGCACAGAAAGTACCCACACTCAGCGAGAGGTTTCACAGAGACGGGCCACAGCACAGGCAGGGGACCGGCAGTCACCCCCAAATGGCAGGGCATGCCTGGGAGGACGCTGCAGTGACTAGAAGGAGCTGGTGTTTATAAAGGGCATGAGAGAGCAGCAGGAGTGGAAGGCAATGTTGACGGCACCTGATCCCCAATATGTTTCAAAGGTGGAAGCCCTGGGGGCGGGGACCCAAAGGAAGCCCAGCGCCCGTGCTGTCGGGGCCTGTCCCTCAATCGCCCGTGTTTCAGGGGTGGTTCCCGGCCGCTCCAAACCTTCCTCAGAACCCGGGCATGGAGAACCGCTCCTCCCGGGTCCCTCTGGCAACCCGGCCCAGGTGTGCTGGGTTCTGCCAGGGCAGGGCCGACACCCAGCACAGGCGCCGAGTCCCCGGGTGGAAAGGGCCACGCACCCTGGAAATATTCAAAGGCAGCTGAGGGCGCTAAACCACCTCCCCCTCGGACAGCGCACCTGCTGGGGGCGCCGTGTACCCGTCCCACCTCGGCTCCTCTGCGCAGGCCCGGCCCTGGCTCGCTGCTGCTCAGCAAGATGAATGTTGGGAAAGTGAGGCCCACCCCACACACTCACGAAAACACGCTCAGAGACGGACGGCCGCCACCCCACCCCCACAGGAGCTGGAGACCCCCCACAGCATCCAACCCAAGGCACACCCCAATCCCTGAGGCTCCTGGAGGAAGCACCCCAGTCAGTCAGAGTTTAAAACGTGAGGCTGGACGTCATGAAAACATGAAACGTTCTTTCCTACTTACAGACGCCATGAAACCCTGGCCGGTGGCTCAGCTGCTTGGGGCATGGTCCCCTGCACCAAAAGGTTGTGAGTTTGATCCCCAGTCCGGACACATATGGGAGGCAACCCATCAATGTTTCTGTTTCTCTCCCCCCCCCCCCCCCCCGCCTTACTCTCTCTAAAATCAATGAACACATGCTCAGGTGAGGATTTTTTTAAATGCTATTAAATAACAATGAGACAAACCAAATACTAGGAGAAAATTGTACATAACATTTATGTAATTACATATAATATTTATATATATAAAAGGCTAATATGCAAGGTTCCCCTTGGTAATTCGACTGGAAGAACGAGAATTTGATCGCTCATAAGGTGTGTGCTGACCACCAGGGGGCAGCGCGGAACATGGTGAGCGACCAGCGGCAGCTGAGGGAGCACGGGAAGGAGCAGGCGGAAAGGCGGGGAGGCCGGGAGCCTGATCGGCCCTGATCGCTAGCCAGGCCTAGGGACCTACCCGTTCATGAATTTCATGCACCGGGCCTCTAGTACTAACATAAGAGTATGTAATATATATAATATATAATGATGTAGAGAGCAAAACACTTCATCGAGTCAGAAAATATGAAGAACTCCAGCAAATCAATAACAAAAAGACAAAAACTCGGAGGGAAAATGGGGTGGTGGCCACACCGGTTCACATGTAGCAAAACTTGTGGGATGTGTATTTCAAATATGTGCATTTCCCTGGGTGTAAATTTTCATCTCAAAAAAAAAGGTAAAGTTTATTTCCCAGAGAATAAAAGTTCATGAGAGACGATGGCTCATCTAATTGTGTCCGATCCATTCAAACTATTTTCATGACTTTGAAGGAAATAACTTTCAATTCTGCCTGTGACTTGCAGGGTTTTTACAGAGACAGACGGAGAACCAGCGAGTGCCCCGGAGGCAGTGTGAGCCCAGGTCTGAGAGAGGGGCGTGGACCTGTTTCAGGAAGACGCTGACCAGAGGGAAGGGGTGGGAACAAAGGGCCTCAAACGGTTGTTTCACAGATTTAACAAGATGGCACTGGTGGCTTCTAGGTGGCGGAACTACAAACCATCTTATCGTCGTGCCTGATTCACTTATTCACAGAAATAATTACCAATGGATTTTCAAGTCAGGAACGAAGCTCTTGCGGGGATGAGGGTTCGAACCAATGAGCAAAGACAGGAGAACCCAGCACGGGCCCAGAGCCCAGCGACGGAGTTCAGTCTGTTTTTATAGAGAAAAGCACGGAGGAAGAGGCCAAATTTAGAAACATAAGAAAACTGTCCGTGGACCCAGGAAACGAGAACTCCCCAGGAAAAGTGACACAAACACAAACATGGCCCTGAGGAAATAGCCCAGATACAAGGAAGTAACCATGTGCCCAGAATCCCACCTGACCCCTGACCCCGGCAGGTATATAAAGGCCCCCGGCCCAGGAGGCTCCACACCTGATCACATCCTCTCCACCAGCTCCTCTGACCTGCTTCACTGTCAATCACCAGAACCATGAGCTGCTGTGGCTGTTCTGGGGGCTGTGGCTCCAGCTGCTGTGTGCCCGTGTGCTGCTGTAAGCCCATGTGCTGCTGTGTGCCAGCCTGTTCCTGCTCCAGCTGCGGTAAAGGGGGCTGTGGCACCTGTGGGGGCTGCAAGGGGGGCTGTGGCTCCTGTGGGGGCTGTGGCTCCTATGGGGGCTGCAAGGGAGGCTGTGGCTCCTGTGGGGGCTGTGGCTCCTGTGGGGGCTGCAAGGGGGGCTGTGGCTCCTGTGGGGGCTGCAAGGGGGGCTGTGGCTCCTGTGGGGTGCATGGTGGGTGGCTCCTGTGGGGGCTGCAAGGGGGGCTGTGGCTCCTGTGGGGGCTGCAAGGAGGGCTGTGGCTCCTGTGGGGGCTGTGGCTCCTATGGGGGCTGCAAGGGAGGCTGTGGCTCCAGCTGCTGTGTGCCTGTCTGCTGCTGCAAACCCTGCTGCTGCCAGTCCAGCTGCTGCAAACCCTGCTGCTGCCAGTCCAGCTGCTGCAAACCCTGCTGCTGTCAGTCCAGCTGCTGCAAACCCTGCTGCTGTCAGTCCAGCTGCTGCAAACCCTGCTGCTGCCAGTCCAGCTGCTGCAAACCCTGCTGCTGCCAGTCCAGCTGCTGCAAACCCTGCTGCTGCCAGTCCAGCTGCTGTGCCCCCGTTTGCTGCCAGTGCAAGATCTGAGGCTCTGAACCCAGACCTTCGGTCTCAGTGTTTGGGGATCCCCTGAATCAGGTCCTCCCTGCAGCACCGCAACCTCATCCTCCTGTCATTCATGCTCGGCTCCCCCTCTGTGCTCAGCGCTCCCGGCCATCTCTGTCCTCCTCCCACAAGAGCAGTGTGTCCTGGTCACTGGAGGTGCCTGGAGGCAGGTGCCAGCTGACAGCCGAGACTGGCCCTCTGGCTGGTGTGTGGGTCGTTCTCTGCCCCTCCCGGGCGGCTGAGATGCATGGACGACCCTGCACAGCCAGGGCGTGTGTCTGAGTGATGGCCCAGGGGTGCTGTCACCTGGCTCCTCAGCCACCAGGGCCCTGGCTCATCCTGGCCACGCCCTCCTTCCCCGCGACCAGCCTCCCCTATGAGGCTTTCCTTCCCCTTTGCCTCCACTTTTTCTGTAAAAAAATAACTGAATTTCCCTTTAATAAAACTTCTGTGTCCCTGTAGCCAACTGTATACTTGGTGCAATTCTTTCCTGGGGGTGACACATCACTAACCTCTTCGTAGATGTGACTCTGGTCCATCCCCTCTGCCCGGGATCCATGCAGCTTGCCTGGCGCGTCCCCAGGAACCACCCACTGGCTTCTGTCTTCCCAGGGGCTACCAGATCCATCACCCTGTCCCCTTCCAGGGTGAGAGTCCTCAACTGGAGGCGTGGGCATTGGGTGCCCGCCGGGGAGGCACCCTAGGGCTGGCCGACGGGTACAGGCACCACAATGTCCAGCTGTGCACCCACGTCCTCCTGCCTGGGGTGTCTCCTCTCAGCAACGCTCTGAAAGGAATAAAGTTCTGACACCTGCCGCACACAGTCCAGCTCTGAGAGAATGACATCACGTGAAGCAAGATAGTCACAAAGACACGAGTAACTCCATTTATTTTATGTTTTAACATATTTTTATTTATTTCAGAGAGGAAGGAAGAGGGAGAGAGAGAGGCAAAAACATCAATGATGAGAGAGAGTCATTGATCGGCCGCCTCCTGCAGGCCCCTCACTGGGGATCAAGCCTGAAACTCGGGCCTGTGCCCTGACCAGGAATTGAACCCTGACCTCCTGGTTCTAGGTGGACGCTCAACCACTGAGCCGCGCCAGCCGGGCTATTACTCCATTTCAAAGGAGTATCCAATGAGGTGAACGGAGCCAAAGAGCAGTGAGTATTTCCTAGGGGCGGAGACGGGGGATGCAGCAGCCTGCTAGGTGTGCGCAGTCTCTTGGGGCCGGAGGCGGAGCAAATGCCCTGGAATCAGACGACAGCGATGGCTGCACAGTTTGTGAAAATACCAACACCCGTGGGTTGTCGCTTTAAAGGGTATGTTTATGGCACATGAATTCTATCTCAATTTTAAATTCATGTCATGATTTTGTTTTGGGATTAATTGTATATGTTTAGATACTTTTTGATATTAGAGATTTTTTCCTGGCCGGCATGGCTCAGTCACTGAGCACCCATTTGTGAACCAGGGGGTCACAGTTCAATTCCTGGTCAGGCACATGCCCGGGTTGTGGGCTTGGTCCCCAGTAGGGGGCGTGCAGGAGGCAGCCGATTAATGATTCTCTCTCATCATTGGTGTTTCCATCTCCCTCTCCCTCTCCCTTCCTCGCTGAAGTCAATATAAATATATTTTTTTTAAAAGCTAACCCTTTTGTGCCCAGCTCGCCAGGAGCTTGGAAGTGACACTGTCATCCACGCGGCAAGAAAAAGCTGGACAACCCCCCAGACAGCAGCTTCTCTTCCATTAACCACAGACCTGAGGCCAGAGCACAGAGCAGCCCGGAAACTGAGGGAGGGCAGCAGGCTGGGAGGAGCCGTGGGGAGCCGGGCTGGCAGGAACCTGGGGCTCGGACCACACACTGCAGTGGCTCAGCCTGCACAGGTCCAGGCGTGGGAAGCTCGGGGACCCGGGGCTGGAGCATGCGTTGTGAGCTTTGCCTCTAGGTTCTCCGCCATCAGAGAACTCGCTGGTTCTTCTGAAATCCCGGCGCACCCTCCGAGGCCGCCTCAGGGAAGGGCGCTCTCAGACAAGCTGCCTGCGGGTCCTCTGCACCTGCTGACCCCAGGGGAGGGGCAGGCCAGCTGTGGCCCCTCTGGCCTTCCTGGACACTCAGGGGAGCAGAGAGCTGGTAGTCCCTTGTGCAGGTCACAACTCAGGTCCCTTCCAGTGGTTCTCAACCTTCTGGCCCTTTCATACAGCTCCTCATGTGGGGACCCCCAACCATAAAATTATGTTCGTTGCTACTTCATCACTGTCATGTTGCTACTGTGATGAATCGTCACGTAAATATCTGATATGCAGGATGGTCTTAGGCGACCCCTGTGAAAGGGTCTTTGACCGCCTAAGGGGTCGCGACCCACAGGTTGAGAACTGCTGCCTTAGACGGCGATGGAACCACAGGCCTAGAGAACACTGCCTCTCCCCCCACCTTCCTATGCGGGGCCTTTTCCCAGGCCATCGTGTCCAGCTTTCAAAAAAAAATGACAAGGCAGCTGGCACACATGGCTTAGAGGTTGAGCATCAGCCTATGACCCAGGAGGACACGGTCGATTCCTGGTCAGAGCACATGCCGTTTTTTAAATAACAAGGTGACCAAAGGCAAGCGCAGACCTTGGAGACACAGCAAGAAATAGAAGTGGCTCTGGCCACTTGGGCTCAGTGGACAGAGCAGTGGCCCGCAGACTGACAAGCCTCGGTTCAATTCCGGTCGGGGGCACATAGCTTGGTTGCCGGCTTGATCCCCATGTGGGAGGCAACCAGTCGATGTGTCCCTCTCACATTGATGTTTCTCTCTGTCTCTCCCCCTCCACTCTCTCTGAAAATCAATGGAAAAATGCCCTTGGGTGAGGATTAACCGAAAAAAAAAGAGTCAGGAGCGGACAGGCAGGGCTGTGGGCATCGTCATCCGGGTGCTCAGGGCTCTGGCTGCAAGCACAAGCGGGTGCCGTGCACAGAGAGATGACATCCTGAGACAGAATCAGAAATGCCCGAGTCAGCAAAAGTGAAGACTGCCCCTGGCGGGCTCACCAGCGATTGGACGTGGCTGAGGGGACAGTTGGAGGCCGGGAGGGGGGTCGGAAGAAGCCTCCAACTGGAAGAAATGAGAGAACACAGGGTCCATCGGATGCTGCTCAGGCACTTGTCATCAGAAGGAACAAACTTGCTCCCCTTTTCTGTTGTGCCTCATGCGAGGATGGACGTCAGCTAAGTGACAGGTCATCCTTTCACAGTGTATGTCGGCAAGGCATGACCCTTTCAGCCTCAGCTTCTATGGTGCTGGACTAATTCCAACCCAATAAAACTGGGGGATGGGGTGCCTGGCAGGCGCGGCTCAGTGGTTGAGCGTCCACCTAGAACCAGGAGATTATGGTTTGATTCCTGGTCAGGGCACAGGCCCTAGTTGCAGGCTTGATCCCCAGTGAGGGGCCTGCAGGAGGCGGCCGATCAATGACTCTCTCTCATCATTGATGTTTTTGCCTCTCTCTCTCCCTCTTCCTTCCTCTCTGAAATAAATAAAAATATGTTAAAACATAAAATAAATGGAGTTAACTCGTGTCTTTGTGACTATCTTGCTTCATGTGATGTCATTCTCTCAGAGCTGGACTGTGTGCGGCAGGTGTCAGAACTTTATTCCTTTCAGAGCGTTGCTGAGAGGAGACACCCCAGGCAGGAGGACGTGGGTGCACAGCTGGACATTGTGGTGCCTGTACCCGTCGGCCAGCCCTAGGGTGCCTCCCCGGCGGGCACCCCATGCCCACGCCTCCGGTTGAGGACTCTCACCCTGGAAAGGGACAGGGTGATGGGTCTGGCAGCCCCTGGGAAGACAGAAGCCAGTGGGTGGTTCCTGGGGACGCGCCAGGCAAGCTGCATGGATCCCGGGCAGAGGAGACGGATCAGAGTCACATCTACAAGGAGGTTAGTGATGTGTCACCCCCAGGAAAGAATTGCACCAAGTATACAGTTGGCTACAGGGACACAGAAGTTTTATTAAAGGGAAATTCAGTTATTTTTTTACAGAAAAAGTGGAGGCAAAGGGGGAAGGAAAGCCTCATAGGGGAGGCTGGTCGCGGGGAAGGAGGGCGTGGCCAGGATGAGCCAGGGCCCTGGTGGCTGAGGAGCCAGGTGACAGCACCCCTGGGCCATCACTCAGACACACGCCCTGGCTGTGCAGGGTCGTCCATGCATCTCAGCCGCCCGGGAGGGGCAGAGAACGACCCATACACCAGCCAGAGGGCCAGTCTCGGCTGTCAGCTGGCACCTGCCTCCATGCACCTCCAGTGACCAGGACACACTGCTCTTGTGGGAGGAGGGCAGAGATGGCCGGGAGCGCTGAGCACAGAGGGGGAGCCGAGCATGAATGACAGGAGGATGAGGTTGCGGTGCTGCAGGGAGGACCTGATTCAGGGGATCCCCAAACACTGAGACTGAAGGTCTGGGTTCAGAGCCTCAGATCTTGCACTGGCAGCAAACGGGGGCACAGCAGCTGGACTGGCAGCAGCAGGGTTTGCAGCAGCTGGACTGGCAGCAGCAGGGTTTGCAGCAGCTGGACTGGCAGCAAACGGGGGCACAGCAGCTGGACTGGCAGCTGCAGGGTTTGCAGCAGCTGGACTGGCAGCAGCAGGGTTTGCAGCAGCAGACAGGCACACAGCAGCTGGAGCCACAGCCCCCCTTGCAGCCCCCACAGGAGCCACAGCCCCCCTTGCAGCCCCCACAGGAGCCACAGCCCCCCTTGCAGCCCCCACAGGAGCCACAGCCCCCACAGGAGCCACAGCCCCCCTTGCAGCCCCCACAGGAGCCACAGCCCCCTTTACCGCAGCTGGAGCAGCAACAGGCTGGCACACAGCAGCACACGGGCTTACAGCAGCACACAGGCACACAGCAGCTGGAGCCACAGCCCCCACAGCTGGAGCCACAGCCCCCGGAACAGCCACAGCAGCTCATGGTTCTGGTGGTTGAGGGTGGAGCAGGTCAGAGGAGCAGGTGGAGAGGATGTGGTCAGGTGTGGAGCCTCCTGGGCCGGGGGCCTTTATATACCTGCCGGGGTCAGGGGTCAGGTGGGATTCTGGGCACATGGTCCCTTCCTTGTGTCTGTGCCGTTTCCCCAGGGTCAGTTTGTGTTTGTTGTCCTTTCCCTGTGAGTTCCCATATTCTTGCCCATGACAGTTTTCTTAGTTTTCTAAATTTGGCCTCTTCCTCATGCACGCTGACCTCAGTCCTTCCTCCCTCAGAGTTCCTGGCAGGTGGTCACCTGCTTTCTGTGCCCACACGTGACTGTCGTGACCACGTTTTGCCAGGTTCCTTTCCATCTGGTGTGGGAACACGTGCCGTTGATGAAGCTGAAGAACTGGAGGCAGAGAGACTGTCTGGGTGGTTGGGCCGTACGTGCAGCCACAGGCTTCCTGCTGGGAGGGAGGCAGCTCGAATGGGACCACACACAGAGGGGGAGGTGGACAGAGAAGGGTTCAAGGTGTTGGCTTTGAGCCTGGCAGCCGCATGCCGCAGCCTCCAGAGGTGACGGCCTGGTGGTTCCTCCCTTCCAGCTCCCCGGGGCCGGCAGCCCGGGGACTCTCTGTCTGTGGCCGGGGCTCAGCCAGGAAGGCTCGGGGGGCACTTCCGGGCTCCAGATCTGGGAGGATCTGTTTCTGTTGTTTTATCACCGCATTTGTCGTAATTTGTTGAGTAGGGACAACAAAATTGTACAATTTTGACATTGGGAAGTGGTTTGTAGTGATAGCAAGAATCTGAAAGGGTGGAAGTGGTTTGAAATCGGGTGGAGGGATTTTGAGGTGCACGACCAGAAAAGCCTGAATTGCCCCAAATGAATGCTACAGAAGTGCAGTCGGATGTTCCTGGTGCCGGGTCAGACATGGTGTTGGAAATGGGAGGAAAGTTATGACCTGGCAGAATGCGCAGCTGAACTGTGTGTAGAATCATGAGGAAGACAGAACCCCCACCTCAGTTTTTCAAAATATATATATTTTTTATTGATTTCAGAGAGGAAGGGAGAGGGAGAGAGAGACAGGAACTCACGAGGAAAAGGACAACAAACACACATGACCCAGGGGAAACGGCACAGACATAAGAAAGTGACCATGTGCCCAGCATTGCCCCTGACCCCTGACCTCTGACCCCAGCAGGTATATAAAGGCCCCCGGCCCAGGAGGCTCCACACCTGACCACCTCCCTCTCCACCTGCTCCTCTGACCTGCTCCACCCTCAACCACCAGAACCATGAGCTGCTGTGGCTGTTCCGGGGGCTGTGGCTCCAGCTGTGGGGGCTGTGGCTCCAGCTGCTGTGTGCCCGTGTGCTGCTGTAAGCCCGTGTGCTGCTGTGTGCCAGCCTGTTCCTGCTCCAGCTGCGGTAAAGGGGGCTATGGCTCCTGTGGGGGCTGCAAGGGGGGCTGTGGCTCCTGTGGGGGCTGCAAGGGGGGCTGTGGCTCCTGTGGAGGCTGCAAGGGGGGCTGTGGCTCTTGTGGGGGCTGTGGCTCCTGTGGGGGCTGCAAGGGGGCCTGTGGCTCCTGTGGGGGCTGCAAGGGGGGCTGTGGCTCCTGTGGGGGCTGCAAGGGAGGCTGTGGCTCCAGCTGCTGTGTGCCTGTCTGCTGCTGCAAACCCTGCTGCTGCCAGTCCAGCTGCTGCAAACCCTGCTGCTGCCAGTCCAGCTGCTGTGCCCCCGTTTGCTGCCAGTCCAGCTGCTGCAAACCCTGCTGCTGCCAGTCCAGCTGCTGCAAACCCTGCTGCTGCCAGTCCAGCTGCTGTGCGCCCGTTTGCTGCCAGTGCAAGATCTGATTATTGCACTAACTTCTTCCAACTGCTCCATCTAGTGAAGCTTCTGGTCTCATCACCTCCTCTGCACACATCCAGCTCCTGCCAACCCCATTCTCATTCTCATCGTTCATGAGAGTGGCCATGTCCTCTGCGATATCCTGACTCAGAGGAAGAGCATATTCCAATGCTCAACAGCTCCTCTAAAACCAAGTGGCCAGGCCCTGTCTGAGTTGCTCAATGGTTAGAGCATCTTCCCAATAAGCCCAGGTTGCGGGTTCGATCCCCGGTCCTGGAACATACAAGAACCAGCAAATGGAGGTGTCAATAAGTGGAACAACAAACGGATGTTTCCTTCTCTCTCTCTCTCTCTCTCTCTCTCTCTCTCTCTCTCTCTCTCTCTCTCCCCTTCCTTCCTCAGAAATCAATAAATAAAAAGTAAAATAAATCAAGTAGCCACTGCTGGTGTTCCTGACTCTTCTAATCACTATTATCTACCACTTGCAGGCACCCACCCTGTACCAAGGAGCTGCCCGTGACTGGCAGGGACAGGACCGCTGGCTCCTCAGTGAGAATAGCTCCGCCCCCTCCCACCCCAGCCACTTCCTTCTCCCACAAAATCAGTCCCTGGGAACTCTTTATCTCCAACAGTTTTCATATTTGTCTGTTAAACTGTAATACACTGTCCTGCCCACGAAACCATGCCTGTCCCTGCAAACACGTTCATGGTGGTGTGACTGCACGGCAGTCTGCCTCCCAGGCTCATGGGTAAGGAACCCACTGGGCCCAGGCCAGCCAGCTGGCACTGCCTCCAGTGCCCCCACTGCCTCCAGCCACGTGCGTCCTCCACTGATGTTTGGCAAGGGAATGGTCTGAGACATGGCGAAGGAGGTAGGGAGCCCTGGGCCGTGTTGGGGGGAGGGCTTGTGTCCTTTGTCTGGTACTGTCTAGCAGTGGGCCTTTCCCTTTGGGGCAGTAGGGTTAGTGTGCTGGGACTAGCACCTTCCTACCCTCCTTCCCTCTCCTGTCACAGAGGCAGGAAAGCACTTCCCCGACACCCTTCCAGCTATGGGTCCAGATACAATTAGGCTCAGTCATTCTGCTTTCTCGTGATATTAGGAAAACAAAATAACTGGGGGATAGGGGAGGCTAGGGGACTGTCTAGGGTGGGGGGAAAAAATGGACCAAAAAAAAAAATGGGCAGAAGCACTGGGGGCATCCGGGACCTTCATGGGTGACATGAGCCACATTCCATGTTCCGGCCATGGCCACCAGGCCTGCCGAGGACAGGGCCCGAGGAGTCATTCCTGGAGGTCGGCTTCTCAGTTCTTTCAGTGACTCTGAACCCACCTCGTCTCCATATCAAACCCCACTGTGGTTATCCCGGAGAGGGGGCAGAATGATGCTCCCCAAACTACCTGTCCTGATCCCCACAACCTGTGACTCTGCTTGGTGACCTGGCAAAGGGAATTCAGGTGGCAGGACTTAAGGCTGCTGAATTGGACTTACGGCCAACTTAGGTAGGGAGTCCTCAAACAGGGAAGAGGGAAACAAAAGAGTCACAACCAGAAAGACACTGGAGAGTTGTCCCGTGAGAAAGACAGGACCTGGGGCCGCTCCGAGGTTTGAGCCCCTGGCAGCTCTCGGAGGATGAGGTTGCCTTTTAGGGGAAGTGTGGGCGCATCTGGGGAGCATCTCGGTGGGGGCAGGCAGTCCGAGGTGCCAGTAAGACTCCCCAGAGGGGACTTGTGGTGGCAAGAGGGGGTGAGCATCCGAAGTGTGAGGCTGCAGGACCCCCAACATGCTCAGCATGGCGGAGAGAGCATGGGAGAGAGGGAGGACCAGGCCAGAGCACCACTCCTACTAATGAGAATTTTCGACAACTTGAAAACCATCAAATTGATATGTTTTTGCACAGCAAAGGAAAGCATCCACAAAATGAAAAGGAACTTACTGGATAGGAGAACACATTCACCTATGATACATCTGATAAGGAATTGATTTCCAAAATATATAAAGAACTCAAACACTTCCACACCAAAAACAAAAAAACAAACACACACAAAAAAATCCAATTTAAAAATGGGCTGAGGACCTGAATAGACAGGTCTCTAAAGGAGCACAGATGGCCAACTGACATGAAAAGATGCTAAACATCACCAATCATCAGAGAGATGCAATTAAAACCTCAATGAGATACCACCTCACACCAGTCAGAATGGCCACCACCAATAATCAACAAACTACAGGTGCTGGCGAGGATGTGGAGGAAAGGGAACCCTGGTGCGCAGCTGGTGGGGATGCAGACGGGGCAGCCACCGTGGAGAACAGTGTGGAGTTCCCTCAAAACTAAAGGTGGCGCTGCCTTAGGACCAGGAATTCACTTCTGGGGATAATCCAAAGACACCCAAACGCTAATTCAGAAGAGCAGGTGCACCTCCGTGTTCACTGCAGCTTTATCTACCCTGAGCCGAGGTTTGGAAGCAGCCCAAGTGCCCCTCGCAGATGAGTGGATGAAAAAGCTGTGGTTTATCTACACAATGGAATACTGCTCAGCAACAACAAAAGATGGAAATCTTACCTTTGCGACAGCATGGAGGGACGGGAGAGCATTCTGCTGAGTGAAATAAGCCAGTCAGAGAAAGACGAGTACCATAGGATTGCACTTACCTGTGGAATCTAATGAACGAAATAAACTAACAAGCAAACTAGAAACAGACTCGTAGATACAGAGAACAGACTGGCAGCGGTCAGAGAGGAGGGGGTGGGGGCGGGTGAAAAAAGGTGAAGCCATGAAGCAAAAGCAAACAAACAAACAAAACTCAGGGACACCAGGACGGTGACCACCAGAGGGAAAGGGGATGGTGGAGGCTGAAGCGGGTGAAGGGGGGTTAAATGGTGACAGAGGAGATTTGGCTGTGGGTGTGAACACACAATGTAGAGATGATGTACATACAATTATACACTTGAAACCTCTATAATCTTATTAACCAATGTCACCCCAATAAGTTAAATAAATTTTTAAAACATAAATAAAAAATTAAAAAGCCAAACTCGTAAAAAAACAAACACTTTATGTGCTGCATTGTAATTAAAAACTTAAATTAATTTTTACGCCCAGCCTGCGTGGCTCAGGGGTTGAGCACTGACCTATGAGCCAGGAGGTCAGGGCTGGATTCCTGGTCAGGGCACAGGCCTGGGCTGCAGGCTCCATCCCCAGTGGGAGGCGTGCAGGAGGCAGCTGATCCAAGATTCTCTCTCATCATTGATGTTTCTATCTCTCTCTCCCTCTCCTTTCTTCTCTGAAATCAATAAAAGTATATATTTCTTAAAAATTAAATTAATTTAAAAATAGTAAATAATAAAACTAGTATGAAAATTAATTGAGAGCTAACAGTTTTCTAAATAAACCAAAGGAATGGACCCTGGGCATTGAGACCAAATGAGGCTCGCTTCCTCCGTGCCCCTCCCTTCCCTGCACAGGTCCCGGAGGCACCTGGGACTCCTGTCCTCAGGCCTGAGCCACCCTATTGCAGGTCACACACGAGGAGCAGAAAAGGCAGGTGAGCAGCTCCTGTCGGCACCGAGAAGCATTAAGCAAGTGGGAGCTGAGTCTCTAATCATGAGACACAAAGAGGAAGACATCAAACTAGAAACCTAAGAACGTGGATGCAGCCTGAGCCAGCCAGAGGCCAGGGACACCGAGGAAAAAACACAGCACAGAAGTGGCATAAGCAGGAACCAGGAAGCGACCATGTGCCCAGCATCTCACCTGACCCCTGACCCTGGCAGGTATATAAAGTCCCCCAGCCCAGGAGGCTCCACACCTGACCACCTCCCTCTCCACCTGCTCCTCTGACCTGCTCCACCCTCAACCACCAGAACCATGAGCTGCTGTGGCTGTTCCGGGGGCTGTGGCTCCAGCTGTGGGGGCTGTGGCTCCAGCTGCTGTGTGCCCGTGTGCTGCTGTAAGCCCGTGTGCTGTTGTATGCCAGCCTGTTCCTGCTCCAGCTGTGGTAAAGGGGGCTGTGGCTCCAGCTGTGGGGGCTGCAAGGGGGGCTGTGGCTCCTGTGGGGGTTGCAAGGGGGGCTGTGGCTCCTGTGGGGGCTGTGGCTCCTGTGGGGGCTGCAAGGGGGGCTGTGGCTCCTGTGGGGGCTGTGGCTCCTGTGGGGGCTGCAAGGGGGGCTGTGGCACCTGTGGGGGCTGCAAGGGGGGCTGTGGCTCCTGTGGGGGCTGTGGCTCCAGCTGCTGTGTGCCTGTCTGCTGCTGCAAACCCTGCTGCTGCCAGTCCAGCTGCTGCAAACCCTGCTGCTGCCAGTCCAGCTGCTGCAAACCCTGCTGCTGCCAGTCCAGCTGCTGCAAACCCTGCTGCTGCCAGTCCAGCTGCTGCGCCCCCGTTTGCTGCCAGTGCAAGATCTGAGGCTCTGACATGCTGCTAGGTGGTTTCTGGCCGTGAGTGGAGACACATCCGCGGTCAGGACCACAGTCTCAGTCCAGGAACTTCCTCGTCCTTGCTGACTAGACTTTGCCATCTGCAGGCCTTTTGGAGGCTGAGCCCCAGAGAACCAGCCCTCATGTACTGCACGGGGCACAGACCTCCCAGCTCTCCCTTTGTCTGGCCTCTCCCTGCTCAGTCCTTATTCCCAGGGAACCCCAGGGCTGGTGCTAACCCCAGAGCCTGGGCCCTGACCCACTGAGCACCCCTTTCCGTCCCTGGCGTCCCCCGGACACCAGCTCGTCTAATTCTTGATCTAATAAATTCCTCCCTGGACGTGGGGAACCCTCTAAAGAAGCAAATTCTCCAATGACCAGCCTGGTCTTTCTGTAGTTCTCTCCTCACTGCCGTTCTCGGGAGAAACCTTCCCGGACACAGAGCACTCTGCCTGCTCCCACGGGTGGGGCCTGCGGGGAGCTGACACACACCTACACACACTCGGAGATGGAGTCAGCCACTGCCCACAGTGGAACGCCCCTGCGCATAGGCTCCCGGGACACATCCT